GATGGCTTGAGAACTGGCGCTAAAAGAAAACGTGACTGGGAGGCGATCGCCAGCAGAATGGAGGATTACCTTCAGCTCCCTGATGACTATGACACTCGCGCTTCCGAGCCTGGGAAGAAGAGGGTGAGAGAGACTGTTCCAGTAACTGTTAGCAGGCAAAGGGGCCTTTTAGGCATCTGGTTTAGGAAAGTTAGATAATAGTATGAATTCTGTTTTCTGAAATGTTTCTGTTTAGACTGTATTTTATTGAAAATGAGGCAGAGCTTGCAAATTAGTAGATTAAGACATGCAAGTAACTTAATACTTGGAGACCACAACCTCACACTGCTAGAATGTTGTCTGTTGTGGGGGCTGGAGTGATAGTACAGAGGTGAGATAGACTTCTGCCTTGCACACTGCGGCCTCAGATTCAATTCCCAGCACCACCCAGGTGTGCTCCCTGAGCGCAAGCACCAGGAATGAGCCTTGACCACCACTGGGAGTGAGCCAAAACCACTGTAGCACTGTCGCACTGTCCTCCTGTTGTTCATCGATTTGCTCGAGCGGGCACCAGTCATGTCTCCATTGTGAGACTTGTTGTTACTGTTTTTGGCATATCAAATACGACATGGGTAGCTTGCCAGGCTCTGCCTTGTGGGCAGGATACTCTTGGTAGCTTGCCAGGCTCACCGAGAGGGACGGAGGAATCAAACCCGGGTTGACCGTGTGCAAGGCAAACACCCTACCTGGGCCAAAACCAAAACAGTGTCTCTGGTAAAATACTTGCAAGTAACCACTTACGGTAATTCTGTTTAAGGTGTGAAAGTGAAGAGTGCTTGTTGAAGAGAATTTGAGATTTCTTCCTTTTGTTTTAATCCAGGAAGGGATGACTCTTCAGATAACCATAAGCATTCCATATATGTGGTGCCATTTCCTGGGTTAGGGAGAAGTGGTGAGTCAGAAGTTTGAGAATGAAAAGTCAGTTCATTGGGAACCAGTTAAATTAGAAATGATACTAGGACTTGAGAATCCCAAATTTAGTTGAGGGACCGGAGCGATAGTACAGCAGTTAAGGCCCTTGCCTTGTCCATTGCCATCCCTTGGACATTGCTGGTGTGGTCCAAAACTGCATCTCAAAAAGAAAAAATTTCCATGAGACGCAGGTAAATGTTGAAAAGGTTAATCCATTGCTGTATTCCCTCATGAGGAAACCTGTGTTCTCTCTTGAACTCTTTTTCTCTCCTTTCACATTTCTCTAAGCAAATTTCTTTCAATAAAACTATTTTCCTGGAGCCAGAAAGATAGTATTGTGGGTAAGGCACTTGCCTTGCCAGTCCAGGTTGACCCCCTGCACCTAAATGGCCCGTTAAGCTCTGCAAGGAGTGATCTCTGAGCATAAAGCCAGGAGTGCTGAGCACTACTGGGTATGGCCCACAAAACCAAATACCCCCTGAAAAGTGTTTTACTTAAGAGAAGGAAGGGAAGGAGGGGCCAATTGCTTAACAATACAAAGAAGACCGGTAAATTTTTAGGAAACAGAGAAATAGCCTTCGAACATGGCAGCATAAAAGAATCACTAGTGATGGATCCTCAGTCAAGTTTCTGAGTCATTTGAATGAGAGTGAGTCTGTAGCAAACTGCAGGAATTGGAAACTAAGTATCAAATTACAAAATTGATGGACTTTTTGAAGTTTTGTTATGAAAGAGAAATACACGGCATTGAATAGGTCTTCCACACAGATGTCAAATTCAGTAAAAGCGTTGTGTATTTTCTTTAAAGCAGAATAACAGAGGGCTGGAGCGATAGCACAGTGGGTAGGGCATTTGCCTTGCACGCGACTGATCCGGATTCAATTCCCAGCATCCCATATGGTCCCTCGGGCACCACCAGGAGTTATTCCTGAATGCATGAGCCAGGAGTAACCCCTATGCATCGCCAGGTGTGACCCAGAAAAAAAAAAAAAAGGGCAGAATAACACTAGGCCAGCAGGATGGATCCACAGGCAGGAGTGCGTGCAGACCCCTGCACCACATGGTCCCCTGGATGCTTCTAGGTGTGACAAAAACAAAACAAAAGAGATGAACCAAAAATGAAAAGAAAAAAAGCTCACATATATTATCTGCATAAACTTTTTGCAGCCTATTTTTTGCTTAACTTTTTAATATAAGTATATATAAAGCTACCATTTGGTTTAAATAGCTGCTTAGTTTATTTGCACAAGAAGACTTTATCCTGTTCCCAACTGAAGTATGCTTGTGCTATTTTACTTGTATTGCTAATGTGAAAGTATGGTGAAGATTGAGGTGCTTAAGTCTTGATCCTCTTTGAAAGTTTATTTAGGGTGAATTTTTAAGCCCTAAAGCTATAAAATTAGAAAATGTGATATATCATGGATAGATTTAAGATTCTTTTTGTTTTGGTTTTGTATTTGTTTTTGTTGTTGTTTTAGGGCCCCATCCAGCAATGCTCAGGGATCTGCAATCAGGAAATCACTCTTGGCATTGCTTGGGGGACATTTGGGATGCCAGGGATGGAACCTGGGTCAGCTGTGTTTGAGGCGAGACTGTTTCTCCAGCCTCTTTTTTTTTTTTTTTTTTTTTTTTATTTATTTAATCACTGTGGGAAAGGTTACAAAGCTTTCAGGTTTATGTTTCAGTCATGCAAATATCAAACACATTTCCCTTTACCAATACTTATTTTTTACCATGAAGAACCCCAATAAAACCCCACCCCCCACCCCTCCCCGTCCCTGTGAGGCAGATGAATTCTAGTTAACACTCTATCTGCTTTGATTAGATTCATTGTTTCAATAAAAGATTCACCACTATTATTTAGAGTTTACCCCCCCCCCCCCCAGATCAGACATGCTGAAAAAGCATTGTGAAGTGATTTGCTTTCTAGAGCTGGGTTAAAGAATTAAATGTTGGTTTTGGATTTCTGCTATTTTACCTATTGACCCTGGAAGTATTTCTACTGAAAGTCAGATAGTTAAGAAACTGGTTTCTGTGTTCTGGAGTCTTGGCCGTGCTGGAGAGCCGCTCGCGGGGGGCAACCGGTGGCCTCGGTAGGGCGTGAAGGGCGGAGCGAAACGCCCCCCTTCCCATGAGGTTTTAGTCGCCCCCACACTCCCGGCTCATACCTGCTGTCCACAAGGCACCCATGTGGCCGCCATCTTTCTTTCCAGAGAGGAGAGGGCGAATGGGGCAACACCCTTTCCCCTCCGGCAGACTTGATGGGCTGGATCAACGCATAGTCCGTTCACTTTTCTGCTCCAAGCTGCTGGGTTCTGCATTAAGTCCTTGTGCTTCTGGGGCCATGGCCATGCTGGAGAGCCGCTCGCGGGGGGCGACTTGTGGCCTCGGTAGGGCGTGAAGGACGGACCAGAACGCCCCCCGACCCATGAGGTTTTAGTCACCCCCACTCCCCCGGCTCATACCTGCTGTCCACAAGGCTCCCATGTGGCCGCCATCTTTCTTTCCAGAGAGGAGAGGGCGAATGGGGCAACACCCTTCCCCCTCCGGCAGACTTGATGGCCTGGGTCAACGCATAGTCCGTTCACTTTTCTGCTCCAAGCTGCTGGGTTCTGCATTAAGTCCTTGTGCTTCTGGGGCCGTGGCTGAGCTGAAGAGCCGCTTGTGGGGGGTGACTGGTGACCTCGGTAGGGCGTGAAGGACGGACCGGAACGCCCCCCTTCCCATGAGGTTTTAGTCGCCCCCACATCCCCGGCTCATACCTGCTGTCCGCAAGGCTCCCATGTGGCCGCCATCTTTCTTTCCAGAGGGAGGAGGGCGGAAGGGAGCAACACCCTTTCCCCTCTGGGCAGACTTGATGGCCTGGATTAACGCATAGTCCTTTCACTTTTCTGCTCCAAGCTGCTGGGTTCTGCATTAAGCCCTTGTTCTCCAGCCTCTTTTTATTTTTTATTTTTAACCACATCCACCATTGCTTGGGGTCTACTTGCGTCTCTCTGCTTGGGGAGTCATGCCCAGATACTTAGAAAGGGATGCAGTAGGGAATAAACTGGGCCTCTTTCACACTTTCAGGCAGCTGGTTGAGCTCTCTCTGGCCCTGTTACGAGATCAACAAAGGATGGTGTTTGTGCCACCCCCTGCTTTGCTCTGGGCTTACTCCTGGCCCTATTCAGGGGACCATATACAGTGAGCATGCAAGTGAGCATGCAAGTTGCATGCAAGGCAAGCAACCCCCCACCCCCTATATAGAGTCTTTTGCCCCAAAATTGCACCTATTAACCCATCATATACATAAATGCCTCTTTTCTATTAGGTGGAATAGTTGCACCTATGATACTATTGTCAAACTTCTAAATTTTCAACAGCCTGGGGCTGGAGCAATAGCACAGCGGATAGGGCGTTTGCCTTGCATGTGGCTGACCCAGGTTCGATTCCCACCATCCCATATGGTCCCCCAAGCACCGCCAGGAGTAACCCCTGTGCATCGCCAGGTGTGACCCAGAAAGCAAAAAAAAAGAAAAGAAAAATTTTAACAGCCTGGTGGTGGTGGCCTAGGGGTGAGACTGAAGCCATCTTATTTGTTTTTCTTAAGAATAAGGTTGTTGTTGTTGCACAGGTTTCTCTTTCCTCAGCACTTAATAGAATATTATCCAGAAATACATTGTAACAGACTGGAATGATCGTACAGCACTTAGGCATTTGCCTTGCGTGACTGTCCTGGGTTTGATCCCCAGTATCCCATATGGTCCCCTGAACACCGTCAGAAGTAATTCCTGAGTGCAGAGCTAGGAGTTACCCCTGAGCACCACAGAGTGTGGCCCCCAAACAAACAAAATGTATATATAGTAAAAATTTAAAAATGCCAGTAAAAATTATAGGTACTACTATTTCAAAGAACCCAGCTTCTAGGTACCTTCAGATAGTTCAGGTGCTCCTCAGGCCCTGCCCTTGCTGTGTTTCTTGAGGGCATAGGGAAGAGCCTGCAGCAACACCGCTGGGAGCTACTGATATGGTTACTCCACTTATTGTTTTTGGTTTTTTTTCCCCAAACTTGCTTGAAACTCTCCCATGCGCTACAGTTGTGGGCTCTGAGCCCTGTGAGGCCAGTTCAGTGTTACTATTCCTCCTTTTACGACCACCATAACTGATGTTCAGATCCAATAGGAAAGGGAATTGGAGGGACATCGTAATTCAGTCTTAAGACTGAAATAGAAATAGCTGGATCAGTGGGCAGGGCACTTGCCTTGCATTTAGCAGACCCGGGTTTGATCCCTGGTATCCCATATGGTCTCCCTGGATTCTGTCAGGTATGACTCAGAAACGAAAAATTAAATAAAGAAGAAATAAGTGCCTCTTCCTCGGAGTTATAATGATGTAGCTCTTGTAACAGTGAATAATTTGAATGAAATAAATTGAGCCATATGTTTCCCACACACTAAAATTCTAAGGATTTTAAGGATCAGATGATGGTGTAACTTTTTCTCCGTGGCTCATCTTTTCTTTGGCCGTGACATACTGTATATTCTTTCTCTTGCTGCTTGGAAAGCCTTGTTATTTTACCAGCAGTTTTGTAAATGGCAGTGGCGTATCACTGGGGTCACTGTGCCTCTAAAAGCAATAATGTGTTTTCAAGTCTAGTGTGAAGATCATAGAATTTGCATGCTCTGCTTCCCTTCTTCTCCTAGATAGTAAGTTACAAATCATAGTTACATTCTCTGAAGACTTGGGACTATATATTTCAAACCATGATTTCATGGTCTCTTAGTATTTTAATGTTTATAGACTATGATGTACTGCTTACATTTAAAAAAAAACATTGCTGGGATTGGACAGATAGTACATGCCAGGTTCAATCTCCAGCATCCCATATGGTCCTCTGGGCACCACCTGCAGTGGTTCTTAAGTGCAGAGCCAGGAGTAACCCCTAAACATTGCCAGTTGTGGCCCAGATTTTTTAAAAATAAATAAAGCATTTACTGGGACCAGAGCTGTAGTGCAGTGGGTAAGGCACACAGCTGACCCGAGTTCGATCCCCAGCATTCCATATGGTCTCCAACCACTGTGAGGAATAACTCGTGATTGCAGAGCCAGGAGAAACATCTGAGTGTTGGTGGGTGTGGCCCAAAAATAAAAGCAAACACTGACATAATACGTAAGAATCCATTTTTGAGAAATCTATACAGCCGAGTGTATTATAGGAAGGTCACTCTAGCAGAATAGATGCAAGGGAGAATGAAGAAAGGAAACGGTGGAGTAGAGGTTAGTGCTCGATTTCTGGTAAAGAATAAAGTCAGAGAACTTTCAAAGTGTGGTGGCAGATGAAACGAAGGCTGAGAACAGCCCTGTTCTGGAGCTGGGCTTGTTAGAACTGATCAGAGTTTTCCTTCCGTAACTTAAGATGTTTCCCTTTCTCCAACTCTCCTAGGTCATTCTAAAGTTTTGGCTGGGTTTCAGATTCCAAACCTCCTTATACTGAGTAGAGAGGGACGAGGCCATGTGCATATCTGCTTTTCCTGAAGCCCCGCCTAATGCTGTGTTCTTTTTAGGTGAGATGGGCAGACCTGGAAGAGAAGAAGGATGCAGATAGGAAAAGGGCCATAGGTTTTGTGGTCGGACAGACTGATTGGGAGAAGATCACAGATGAAAGTGGTCACCTGGCTGAAAAAGCCCTCAATCGAACCAAATATATATGACTTAGTTTTTGAATGGAGTCATAATTCCTCTAAGGTAAGGTTGCGCAGGCATGGAAGTCACTTACTGTGTGGTGGTGGCAGAGGGTTTGAGAGGGGGAAGACCGCATGCCTAGCTAAACATGCCCCTCCTCCTGTGTTCTTGTGTGGTTCTGGAGGAGTCGCTCCCTGCAGCCTCGCTGCCGTGTTCACGTGCAGCCTGCCTGAGTTCGGTGGCTCTGGGAAGGAGCAAGGGGTGTGGGCGTGACGTCTGCTCAGTGTCCTGCCTCCTCCTTCCTAGCCTGACAGCCTTCTCTTTTCTTTCCAGATGGTTCGCTTGGAGGTGATCTGAAGCCAAGGCCTCCTGGAGCTTCGTTGTGTGTCACCTTGCTTCGACGTTTCAGTTTCTATTTTGTTTCTACTGCTTTAGTTTGTTTTTTTTTTTAAAGTTCTCCTGTGTCCCCAAGAGGTATTAAAATCTTGCTCTACCCAAGCAAGACATAATTTTTTAAAAGAAACTCTTTTGGGGAGGGAGGGAGGCGCAGCTGAAGGGCTGGCGCCAGGTGGGGGTCCGCTGGAGGGTTCCAGCAGAATTGTTTCCTCCACTGTACAGTGTCACAGACGATCTCTCTCATTATTGCTTTGTGGCTGTTTTTGTTTTTTACTGTATGTAACTGGTAGCTGATTGTACTAGAATGAAAAAACAATAAACTTTCACGATAAAGCCGATGAGATTCATGGGCTATATACAGCATGGGCCCCTTTCTGTTTTCTTAATTTTATTTTTATGATAATGCTTTTTTTTTAATGTGGTGTGCTGTGATCGCACATGACCTGAACAGTTCAGAACCTCTTTTCCATTGGACATTATACAGCTTAATGATTTCATAGCAGAGCTCATAAGTAGAATGGCACTCAAAACACTGGTCTTTATTTCATAGCTTCTTTCTCCGTTCTGTGTTTTGAAGACTAGTGGAGACTATCTCAAATATCAGTCAGTTCCATGGTACATGTCCGTTCTATAACACGTTCTTTTACTGTTTCATTTTTTTATCCCCTGTTCTTTCTACTTTCCTTCCTATTTCCATTTTCTGCCTTCATGCTATATTATGTTTGAATATTTTCCCATGATGGCTTTGCTTTCTGGTGGATAGAACAGATGGACTCTCTGAAACTCAAGAGTTTGCTAGCTTATCGCTGAATTTTTGATTTTTTTTTCCCCAGCAAGATTTCTAGCAGGTGGGATTTAGAAGTGTACAAAGCTAAAACTCAAATTTACCATTTTCATTTAAAAACAGCAAAGGAACTCTTCTCTTTTTTATTCTACACAATTTCTAGCATTAGAGAAGAGCTTCATCCTCAGACATCCTGCTTTGTCAAAAGGCACCTCAGCAAGTTGTAAAATTTCTCACAAAATACTTAAATATTTTGAAGTGTTCGCTTTTGGGTTACAGGCAAAGCAACTTTTAATTTTATGACCTCCTTTAAGTACTGCGTGACCGAGTTCATCTATTTGTTAACATTGAAATAATATCACTTTGGATTCAGGAACTTGAAAGTATAGTAACTGAAGATTCTAATGAAGATTCTCCTGACAGTGTTCTATACTTTTTTTAAATCTTCCTTGAAATTCTGAGTGTTTAAATGTGAGGCTTTCAGTTCGTTAACAGTTCCTGTTGAATGTATAATTTGATAACTTTCAACTGTCTGTAATATTTAATAAGCTACTTCAGTTGCTGTTGGCCTGCATTACATTCTTACGTAATCTTTTGCGAGGCGCCTTTATTATGTGGAGTGACAGTGCATCACAAACTGGCTAATGGAAGTTTTGTTTGTACGACAGCCCACGTACTGTTTCTGAGAATCTGCTACATGTCATCATCAGAAACCAGGCACCCAGAATATGTTCTCTAATTCATAAGAAAACAGGACATATTTGTTGTCGTTGAGGCTGTTGTACTGCATTTGTCTTAACTTTTTCATGTTCTCACTTGACAGTATTCAGAGTGCCAGTGAGTAAGCGGTAAGCCACCCAGGAGTTACTGCCCCTCTGCCTCATGCGGCCTTGCCGCCAAAGCTTTGTGTGTGTGAGAGCGTTGCCAAGGAGTAGAGCAAATGACTTGTCAGTTTTTCAAAGATAAATACTAATGTGACCTTATGGGATGAACACAGACTATTTCCTACTTTAGAAAACTGGTACAACAAACAACCTCAATAAAAAAATAAATTAGAGTTTGGTAACCATAATGCATTAATAGAGATGATCAACTGATAACTTGACCTTGCTATTTTGGTACGTATTAAGACATTCTTGAATTTTTATTATTACTAGAAGCATAATAGGATAGAAAGTCCAAGACTATCTCAAGAGAAATTTGGCATGAGTTAAAAGAAATCCTTTGATAACGCTGATAATTTAAAATTATTGATAGATATTCATAGAAAACAAGAGCAAACTTGGGTTCCACTTATATGCTAGCATTTTTCTGTTATGCTGTTAACATGGTTTTCCTTATCTCAGAAAACTGGTATGTGTTTTTAAATTTTTACCTTTATCATGTGTTTTAAACGTTTGTGGTGTCTTGTCAGTATAAAACAGTCTGGCATTAGGAACTTTCCTGATAATCTGTAATGTTTCCAGTCTCATAAATTCAATGTAAAACTTTTTATTTAAGTGATTTTGCTTTAGTTATAAACTGACAGTGCAAGTAATATGGTAGCTTAGATTTAGAAACTTATCTGGGACTAATTTCAGATTCACTTGGCCTATTTAAAAATGCAGTGTTCCATCATCATGGGTCATGAATACTATAGTCTGTCAACATGAATCTGATTCACGTAATTTTCCAGAAGTTCATAGGCGAAGATAAAGGCTTAAATTTTTCGTTTGGGTTTGTTTCCTTGTGAAGGAATTCTGCTGTTTGTTTGGGTCAGCCAAAGTCAACACCATCTCTTCAATGTAAGACTAGGATTGCTTACCTTGGAAGCTACCGCTCGTTAGCATTTGATCCCGCTACGTGGCAGGTATTTTTGGTGATGTACGTTGGGAACCTTCCTCCCTGCTCACCCTGGGAAGGTGACACATCAGCAGCAAAGAGACCTTCCGCCTATTGCTGGTAGACTTTCAAGACCAAAGCTACCAAAAACTGAAATGAATTTACCTTTATTTTTATTTTTATTTTTATTTCTATTTCAGGGGCTGGAGCGATAGCACAGCGGGTAGGGCGTCTGCCTTGCACGCAGCCAACATGGCCGACCCGAGTTCGATTCCTCCGCCCCTCTCGGAGAGCCCGGCAAGCTACCGAGAGTATTCGATATGCCAGACACAGTAACAACAAAGTCTCCAATGGAGACGTTACTGGGCCCGCTCGAGCAAATCGATGATCAACGGGAGGGCCTTTACTTACTTTACTTACTTATTTTTATTTTATAGAGGAACAAAGCGCACAGTAAGAACTCAAAAAGTTAGTAGCATTCTTTTTGATTTATTCTCATTTTTGTGCTTTTGAAATG